GTGTGGCTGCAGCCAAGGTTTTTCAGGCTGCTGCCCACCTCTTTCCCAAATCCACTAACACTTGTGAACTTGATAGGGCTGTTCAGCAATCAACTGGCAAAGCAAACGGGGGTATAGTTGAGCAACGTGAGTCAACCAACGACCACTGTCGTCTTGACCGGACAGGGTCAAATGCCGCTTTCCTGAAAATTGGCATCGGCCTTGGTTTGTCCTGCACTGTTTTGCACAGAGGGCCAAAGCAGGGAAGTTCCACTCCAGCAACCCGGTGGCTTTCCGCCAGGGAGTGCCAAAACAGCAAAAATGAGTCTCATGCAAGCGGGCTCCAAAATCAACCAAAGCTCTAGCCTGCGGGGTCAACCACAAGCGTGAGGAGAAAGGGTTCTCCAGTACCCACGCTAGGTTCAGGTGGCAAGCCAAATCGATGAAAAACTTTGAGATCTCTAAAAGCCGGTTGCCTAAAAGAACTTTGGATTGATCTGAGGGGCGAAGGTCATCATAACCCCACAGGTGAACATCGTCATCCCGTAAGGGTCTGGGCCCGCCATCAAATCTCCTAGCTCGGGACCATGATGTACAAGGTGCCCCAAGCCAAATCAGGGCTATCTTGTTCCTATGTCGCTTGATGAAGCCCACCAACTCGTGCTGAACTCCGCGGTCTAGCAGGTCACAGCCATGACCATAGTCTATGTCATAGGCTATGGCAGTGAATCCAAGTGCTACCATTGCAAGTGACAAACGTGCACACCCTGAAAAAAGCTCTATCACAATCTTGCCATTGGCTACCGTTTGGTCTGGGTGGAAAATCTTGGGCCCAGTTTTCTCATCTGCTCCTCGAGCTTCAGAACTAGCCTTTGTGTCGCCAGTGGAAGGCGATGGTATTCCTGGTTGAGCCGACCGTGTTGTTCGTATCGACGAAGGCTTGAATCTGCGGCCCAGCGTCCCCGTGCCTTGATCTCCATGAGTGATCGAAGTCGATGGCAACGATCGTAAGACGGACCTGAGTGCCTTAGTTGGTGCAGGACTGCATGGTTGTGTTCCAGCCCCAGATCTACCAGGGCCTGTTTCCAAGCTGAGACCATCTCTGCATGCCCCAGATTGAAAAGGAAAGGCCCGTCCGATTGAAGCTGTTCCAATGCCTGACCCAACCAAAGAAGTTGCACTGTATCCAGCTGAATGGACTCTTCCGAGATCCCAACTTTTGAGGCCTCGTGTCTCTCGGCAGGATGCAGGTGGAGCGTGTGGTGCTCTTGTTTTGGCATAGGTCTCACCAGGTCTGTCTTCTGTATCCCTAGGCACTCTCCCGGCCTCAGGTAGGCCGAAAACATGGTCAACACTGCTAAGGCCGCACGTTGCCGCCTTCGTGCTCGCATCTTCATTGCAATGCCGGCGACCAACTCCCAAGGGAGAGGTGGTCTTGTCTTTTGCGGATCGATCTTTGTCCAGCCCTGAAGTGCTCTGACCATTCGAGGCAAGGCTGACTTGTGGCCAAATTCTGGGAACGCGTCTTTGACTGCTGCCACAAATTTTGAGCCCTCGTGGAGCTCTACGCCCTGCTCGAAAATGTTGTTCAGAAACAAAGCGCAGGCCTCGTCCAAGTTCTTCGCGCTTCGAAGGGAAATCCTGTTCTGTCTCGCAAAGAATCTCAGATCGTTGATCCTTCTGGTGTGGTCCCTTGCTACGGCCTCCGAGACCGCTAGTCGTTCTAGGTTCGTCTGGCCCTTGAAGCGAGGAGGATCTGATCTCTGTCTCACAATCTCCGCTCGAGTCTTGGCCTTGTCTGCCGGCTTCTTGTCGAAGTGGGTTTTGCGCACGTTTGCAGGAGGTGCTTCCTGCTTGGTACTGCTTGCAACTTGTCGAGGGTCTGGTCCGCTAGCTCGGGTTGGGTAGCAAAATTCATCAACCCTTTCGAGCTTGCTCTTCTCCCAGGCTCGGCCAGCAGCATCCTTCTTTCTGTGGGGTTCCCACCGTCGCGACCCTTTGTCGGCCACGTTCAACTCAGAGGGAATCCACCGGGGCGAAAGCACAGAATCAGTACATAGCAAAAGAGCACAGAGGCGCCTACACCACTTCAACATGTAAAAAGAGCTCGAGCGTCCCTTTGCAATCATGAGGATCACGCCCATGTTATCACCCAGATGCAAATGTCTTTTTCCAAAATGTTGCACAGACCTGAATTTGTGCTTCAAAGAAATCGCAACACCTCTAGATTCCAGCAATGTAATATGTTCCGGATACTTCATGTGCACAGCAAATACCTCATGCCACAGCTCGGGTTGCAAGACGTTTTGGGGCACTTCAATGAACTTCTCATTCAACTCGAAGGGATCGGGTTGTTCAAGTCCATGTTTCAAGGGTTTCACAGTTGAAGGGTCTGAGAAAGGGTCACCAAAACTCAAGGCGGCTTCTCGAGGTGGGGGCAGCTCTTTGTACTTGTATCGCCAGGGCTCACGTTGTGATCCTATCGCGGCTACCTCATCTCGAGGGAGCTCACGACAGCACACCGCAACACCTGACAACGAAGCATCACTCGCTGTGATCCGCTCGCACCAATCCTTCCTCAAATCAACACTGCAAAGCCCCAACAAAGCTGATGCCCACTTAGCTTCTCTCGCAGCTGAGGCAAAAAGAGGACGTTTTTGCAAATAGCTCTTTTGAACAAAGTCGTACATGGCCCTAAAAATCGACAGGAGTTCTCCACGTAGGAGCATGAAGTGAACACAGTGCCCAATGAGTCGTTCAACCTGTTTCCCAGTTACCCAGGGCTGCCTCGCCAACCAGTCAAGCGCCAATCTGACCTTGTGCACCCTCTCCGGAATGGGCGTCACCACACCTTTGGCGCCATCGACGAGGAAGCCGGGGCTTTGTCCTATGCTACATGCTTCCAACTCTTCATGTACTCGAAAACCTATCTCACGAAGCCTATCAACGATCTTGTTCTTAACTTGTTGAACACGTTGTTCATCAATACCTGCCACATTCAAGTTGTCAGCGTACGGAATGATGATCACCTCTCCATCTATCTGACAAATCTGGGGGTGCCTTGTTCTCTACGATCACGCGATCCAAGCTAAGGCCTCCAGCCTCCATGCACAGATGCGTGTGGACCCTTTGCGCCACCCACATAGCCCAACTCCAACCCATCGGAACCACCCTCAGCATCGGGAATGTCCAGCCTTCGGCATCGCAGTCCACCTGATCCAGATCCAAGGCCCAGTCCTGCATAGCGGACTTGGCGATAGCAGGCAAACAGAAGAGGCTTTGTAGATCTTGTGGTAGAGCTAAGCTATAAAAATAGTCCTTGATGTCGGATTGGGCCAGGTAGAGGGTGGAGCCCTCCGGGATGCATTCCTGCGCCCAAGATGTACCGGCTCCAAGCGCCAGAGGCGGAGGTTTTTTTGAATCGCATGTTCACTGCTCTGCAATCCAAAATCAATCTCAGACGCCCATTCTTCTTCTTCACAAAAAATGGTGGCGCAATCTCCCGGGGCCTCGAGGTGAAAGATAACATTCCCTTTGCATGTAGGTCCTGAATGAACGAGGTATATTAATATAGTTGTTGGTCATGTTGCAATCTCACATCCATGTACGGTCTAACCAATTCACCCTTCTCCAGCACTTCACCCCACTCCTCATCCGAAAGGAGCATAGACCGCAGGGGATCACCAAGAACTTGTCCATGCTCATCCAAAACCTGGTCCAACGAAACGGGATCGTCGCCGGTCTCAGGGAGGGAAATCAAGTCTCGCTGATAGGGGCGCACTGTGCTGACAAAATCCTCCTGGGAGTAGGAGGAGTCGCATTGCAGAAGCTCTTGAACAGCCTCACGCATACTGCACTGTTGCTGGGCCCTTGGTTGATGGGCCAATTGCTTGAAGATGGCATGCTGACTGGCCCTTTGTGCCAAAGTGCAATCACCCTGGGGAGTGGCCTGTTGAGGAGCATACATCTCGTTCAAACTATCTATAACTTTATTAGACTCTTCAACCAGACCCCGAACCGGAGCCTTCCTTCTCCTTGAAGATGTCGAAAGGCCTGAGCCGGAGGCCGGTGGGGAAGCCCTAGGCAGTGGAAAAAGCTCTCGCCGCCGTTCTTCTTGAAAAGTTGGGTTGAGCCCACGGCCATGGCCATCAAATTCTCCGGCAGGACACGCAGACATAGGAGGCGCCCCCGCCGAATCAGCGCCACCCATGCCACTCATCACTTTTGATCTCCGCCGCCTCCCCCCCTTCTTGTCACCGGGGTTTCGGCGGCGCGCTTGCGCTTCTTCCTTGGCCTTGCGGCTCTCCTTGAGGATCATGGCTTCTGACTTCAACTCGGCAGCAACGTGATGTGCCAGGTCTGGATCAACTCCATGCGCACCCTTCCGATACTTCCAACCCATGAAGAACTCTGCGGAGCTGTAATCTGGGCTGGATGGAGAGATCCGGTGAGCTTCACGAATAACCTGCAGGCGTCGAACTAGTAGCTCTACCCCTTGCAAGCCGCTGACGTTGAGCTGATCGACCGTCGCGATCGATTCGAGGATGCGCGACAACACCTCATGCTCGTAGATCGACCTGTCACCCCTTGGTATCTCAGCGCTTCGCAACCAAAATTCGTGAAACGAAGTTGGAGTCATGGCCTGGTCCCGAAGTGACTTGAGAACATTCAAAGCTGTTGCAGTACCCTCAAGCTGAAGACCTCCTCCCTGTGGGGAACCCTCAACCATTGCAGCAACCGCTTGGGCAAATTCCCTTCGCCTTACCCCCTGAGCGTCAAAGGTGACGGGCAGAATTCGCAGGTCCTCGAGCTTGTAGCCTGCTGCATCGGACACACGAACCTTCTTTGCAAAACAAGCAACTGCTGAACCATCCTTAGCTGGCACTAACGCCTTCTCCCCAATCACCACATGACCTGCTGGCAAAACTCCGGGCTCGGTGACCACGATCTCCCCCCGACTGTAACCTCCAGCTGTCTCAACACACACCCAACACATACCAACAACTCCGGCTGGAGCAATCGCTGCTCCTCCCCCAGGGACTGCTGCCGCAGCCGCTGCCCCTCCACCAACTAGCACCCCAGGCAATGGGGCGACAGCCGGTGGCGGTGGAGCGACAGCAGCTGGTCCTGCACCCATGGGAGCCAAAGGAGGAAGTCCTCTGTTCAATCTCTCTGCATTGGCTTCAAGCCGTGGATGTGGTTGGCAAGAGTGGCCGGGTCCATAGGAGCGAATCCATAGATCTCATGGGCAGGTACTCGAGGAGGTATGTTGGTGCTTGCTCCGAGATAGATGAAATCTGCATAGTCCGGGTTGAGGTGATCAAGCTGCTCACTGTATCTGTCGAAGTCTGGCGTGAGGATCTGCCATTCTTGCCTGGATGTGTCCAAGGAGTATACGAACGTGCCAGGTGCTTGGCACTTCGCCATAATGAACAAGGGCTAGATGGCCACCTTCCATCTTAGCCGGTCAGCGAAAGAACCTTGCCACTGACTCCCCACACTCCCTTCTTGCCTTTTGGGCTTCCGGCAGGCTGGATGTCCCTCTTGGTGTACCAAAACCAGATTCCCCCACCAATGCGCAATGCAAACAAGACCAAAAGTGCAATCCAGGAAGTAGGGCCTCCCTCACTCACACAGGAACAACGGCAGTGGCACTGACAAGGTCGTTCCTCCTGGGGCCTTTCAGTCAGTACCCTAGCGAACCACCCCAAGGCCACTGCCCACAAATGAGTGGGGAGCGCCCCCGAGTCCATGGCAAGCCTAACTCACCTGAGATCGTTCTTGAGCGTTATTGCAACGGCCCAAGACGCTACCACTTCACATTTAAGTGCGAGCACAAGACATAGTTTTGCGACATGTGATTTGATGGTTGGGTATGAAGATGGATGGATGCCGCTACTCAAGTGCAAAGTTGCCTCATCTTTGGCTCAGCCTCTGTGCGTGGCTCAGATGGCTCTGCCGGCGGTGCTTCATCACTCTGCACTGCCAAACGGTGGGTGTGGAAGATGTCAGCGCCCGTGTAGACTCGGCTATCAGGATCCCATGCATCAGAAGACCAGTAGCCACTTCCAGTACCACTTCCGGACCTTGCAGCTTTCAGCCCAAAGATTCGAAATTATCCACCACAAAAACATACAAAAACACCCCACTCTTTCCTCCCTTGCAACCAAGCAGCGTGTGCATTCCCGAAACTCTATGAAACCCTACGCTTTCACCCTACCAGTCCATATTTCAAATGGCTGCTCAGTGCAGGTTAACAGTTAACGAGAACCCTATGCCCTGAAGTTGGTGTGCCTGGTATGCCAACCAAAGCTACCAGCATGCGGCATCGCGACACCGCACATCATGGGCTCCAAACCACTGTTATCTTTTCCAAGTGAAACCTGTAAAGTTGAAGGAGCTATTGGCGTGCTTGCTGTCAAAAGGAAAGCCCCGGCTTTGAGCCCTAGGCATGAGGACCTGATTCCAAAATGCAAAAGTCTGTGGACTTACTCGTTTGCAAGTGCGTTGCTGACAGCCGGCGCCAATGCTTCGAATTCACTAAAACATGACAAGGTTGAGGCCAGTATATCTCTGGATCAAACCTGCCACTGGCATCAAGGTAGGTGTTCAAAGACTGACTCTCATCAGCAGCGGTGAAGAGACCACCCAAAATCACCAGCTTGCTTTTGAATGGACCTGCAGTTGTCCCATGCCTTCCAACCTGTAGCCGCACCATGGGGCCGTGCGAGGATGGAATAAAGCTGGACTGCGCCAAGCACGCCTTGCGCTTGATGAGGCCCTGGTGAACGAAGAACATGACACGCCGGTTCACCATGCGGATCTCAAGGTTCCCCAAGCAATCTGGAGATAACCAAACATGAACCATACCCAATGCATCGGCCTCAAAGGTCAACACATCTTGGACGAATCCCTCACAAGCTCCCGTACGATTCACCTGCGCACGAATTTGAGGTGCGAGGCAGAGAGGACCACCGCAGGACCCTGCAGCTGAGAGAATTTGACAATAGGAATAGTCTTTGTAGAAAGAACGCCACGCAGGTGACACCTCACGCCGCACAAAGTCCAAGTCACTTTCTGGCATAGTCATGTTGCAAGCTGATCTGATCCGCCTACTATCTGCCAACACGAAGCCCAGTTGTTTCATCGTCAGAAGGACTTCTTCACACGACGCCTGTCCATGATAAATTGGAGCAGCCAACTTGCTATGCACCTCCATAGTGACATACAGCACGCGGTCCAAGTATGGTCCTGCTGACTTAAGAACATCCAAGTCGCTTCCCTGGGCGTCAATCTTCATTCGAGCAATATGACGACCGGCAAGCCATTGCCCAATTACAGTCGCCAAGGACGCACAGGGAACAACCCGTTCCTCTTGGAGATTGGAACATCGTTCCACCACCCATCTAGGCCAGGACATCCCGGAGATTCCAGCCCTTTGGTTCTCCTTCTCGAAGTCAGGAGTGGGAGCCCGCAAGCTGCTGCAGCCATCCAGGGATGTCACATGGAACACAGCGGTGCTCTCGGCCCCGCACTTGTCACCAATTGCATACGGAAGGGCCAAACCCCTGCGATGCTGCAGGCCCAAGTTTACAGCTGCATTATTTTCAGCACCTCCACCGCTGGAGAAAGATATTAGATAGCTGTATTTGTCAAGCAATGGCTCAAAACTTACCAGGAAACCGTTCGGCCCATCCTGCAGCAAAGGTTCAAGCTGCTCTCTCTCCAACTCGTGGTTGTTGGCACCAACCTCAAGAAAGAAATGTGATGGCTCCCATGGCAAGTGCTGCCAATTCCGCTGGAACGGCCAATGTGCCACCTGTATAGGGGCAAACAATCCATCAGGCATGAGCACATGCTCACCTCCATGGCTCAGTCATTTTTAATCAGCAGGTTTTGCCCTGTACTGTACTACCCAAAGAGGTCGTATATGTTTGTCCAGTTCAAACATGTGTTCAATCTTGCAAGTTTATGCTGAAGAAGATTTGTTTGTTTTTGCGTGGCTAAACAGTCCAAGACAGCAATACCCCGTACGGATGTTGAACAGAGCATGCCCAACAACACATATGTCGGTATTCGTGCTGGAGCCACACAAAAGCAAGCGAATGCCCCTGCGGCTCTTGTGACATTAGTTAATTGATGTTCATTGCACATACTCCCGGATGCTCCAGGTCTAAAGCACTTAGACTAGGCAACAACCACGACTATGGCTACGACAAATATACTTTTTGCAATGCACAATATCTCTGCCGAAGGCGCTCGCTGAGAGGTCTGTTCCGAAAACGTTTTGGCAGCCTGCTTGCGACCCACGTCTAGGATCAAAGACTGCATCGACAGCAAACCTTCAGCCAGTTCCCTTCCGGCCAGGCTATGGCGGTGCTACATGCGAGAGGCATGAAGCACCTGACCCACCCAGGTGCGCACAATACTTTCGGAACACCGCGCAGAACAAATTGATGGAACTCAACAATTGCGATCAACTGCGGGTGCGCATCTGAGTGCCGAAACCATATCAAAACTATGATGAAACTACCTTCAAGCATCTTAAAGCACAACTCAGAGCTTGGCAGCCTGCGCTTGGGGCGCTGCCTCTGCAAACATCTTGGCCATCTCTGCCAGCTTGGTGGATTGCTTCACGCCCAGGTCCAACATGATTTCCTCTGATCCTAGGTAGGTCAGGGAAGAAAGATCATAAGACCTGCAGCTGAAACAATTGATACTGATACTTATGGATGCCATATGGATGCCTTGGTGGTACCCACTAAGACTCTCACCTCCAGGGATCGCCATGGCACGAACTTCACG